AAAAAAAAAAAAAAAAAAAAAATTATTATTGAACAGGGGGAAAATAAAAGCTAAAATCTACTCTATTACTTACAGCACTTGAATTTTTTCTATTGGCTAATGATGTTCTTTTTCATGAAATGTTTCATTTCTGTGACATGAGTAGTAAGCAGAAGGCTAGGAAAAATACTGTAGCTCCCATATACCATTTCTTGCAGAGCAGAAGAGAACCTGCAGGCAGAGGACATGGATTCTAGGCTCAGTTCAACCCCCACCCAGGTGGCTGACATGGGGAACCCACTTTACCTGAGATTCACTTTCCTTGTCAAATTAAGATAACATGTATGGTCAGTATAGAGTATTGCTCTTAGTAAGTTATTAATGCTAAATGATATTTTGGGAAATGTACTGAGTATTTTTAAAGATAACTAATACACTTGACTGTTAGGGCATCTTTTCTGAGATGGATCTAAGAATAAAACCTAAATGACCCCCTCACCCCACCTTCTTCTTGTAGACAAATGAGATAAGGAGGGCCAGAGAAGGATTCAGACATGGTGAGGATAAATGCAAATTCTATCTGACCCTAAGCTTAGAGAAAATGAATTTGGACAAATGTCAATTACAATCAACATTCACAGCTTTCATGATTAATAAGCAATAAGTTCATGCTCCTATGAACTTCAAGTTATAAATTATGAAAACCAACAGAATTCTAGTTGTACTTACTGCAAGAACAATTCATACCTGGGTCCTGTTTGCTTTCATCCTCGTTGACCAAGAATCCCATGTGATAATTCCCCACCTGTTGTGAGTAACTTTTTTCTAATTCACAGACTGGTGGATAATGGGTAACAAAGAGGGTTAAGGATTTCACCTAAAGCAGTGAGACACAATGAAAGTTATTTTATTTTTAAATTTTAATTTAAACTTTTCTCCAACTTTATTTTGAAAAATTTCAAACCTTCATAAAAGCTTCAAGACAAGTACAATGAACACTCATGTATCCTTTATCTAAATAACCATTTGTTAGTATTTTGCCATATTTCCCCTTTCTTCCTCCCTCCCCCTCTACACACATACACACACACACACACACACACACACACACACTTTTTTTCCTGAACCATTTGAGAATTGTAGACACCATGACACTTGGTCCCTAAATACTTAAGATTCTATCTTCTGAGAACAAAAACATTCTCCTATATAACCAGAATAAAATTATTCCACTCAAGAAGTTTAACAATGATATAGCACTATTTACTAATATATAGTCCATGAATTTCCCTTACTGTCCCAATAATGTTCTTCACAAATTTCTTTATATTAAAAAAAAAAATCAAGACTCATGTGGTGCACTTAGTCATGCCTCTTTAGTTCCCATTAATCTAGAACAGTTCCCAGACTTCTCTTTTTTCACTTCTATGTCTTTAAAATTTTTGAAGTATCCAAGAGGGCTGTTTTGCATAATCTCCCTCAACTTGGATTTGCCTCATTCAATTCAGATTAAAACTTATTACCAGCAATATTACATATATACGTAGGTGACATACGCTTTTCAGCATATCACATCAGGAGGTACATGATGTCAGTCTGATCTATTATTGGAGATGCTAAAGCTGATTATTTGGTTTAAGTGTGTGCCCAGAAGATTCCTTCACTGTACTGACACCTCTCTCCTTTGTAATTAATAAATAACTTGGGGGTGATACTTTGAAACTGTGTGAATATCATTTTCTCCAACAATCTTTCATCCAAAGGTTTTACTATCTGTTGATCATCATTGCCTGAATCAGTTATTATTCTGGTAGTTAATAAATGCCGATTACTGGGCATATACCCTGAGAAAACCAAAATTCAAAACGAGTCATGTACCAAAATGTTCATTGCAGCTCTATTTACAATAGCCCGGAGATGGAAACAACCTAAGTGCCCATCATCGGATGAATGGATAAAGAAGATGTGGCACATATATACAATGGAATATTACTCAGCCATAAAAAGAAACGAAATTGAGCTATTTGTAATGAGGTGGATAGACCTAGAGTCTGTCACACAGAGTGAAGTAAGTCAGAAAGAAAAAGACAAATATCGTATGCTAACACATATATATGGAATTTAAGAAGAGAAAAAAATGTCATGAAGAACCTAGGGGTAAGACAGAAATAAAGACACAGACCTACTGGAGAACGGACTTGAGGATATGGGGAGGGGGAAGGGTGAGCTGTGACAGGGCGAGAGAAAGTCATGGACATATACACATTAACAAACATAAGGTAGATAGCTAGTGGGAAGCAGCCGCGTGGCACAGGGACATCGGCCCGGTGCTTTGTGACGGCCTGGAGGGGTGGGACAGGGAGGGTGGGAGGGAGGGAGACGCAAGAGGGAAGAGATATGGGAACATATGTATATGTATAACTGATTCACTTTGTTATAAAGCAGAAACTAACACACCATTGTAAAGCAATTATACCCCAATAAAGATGTTAAACAAAACAAAACAAAACAAAACAAAACAAAGCTTTCTCTATTAGCTGGAATTTTGTAAAGTAGAGCTTTCCCTTCTTCCTCCCTACCCTCACCATTTTAAAATTTATTTTTGTGTTGTTAGTATCAGTACAGACTTGTGGATTACTTAATTAGCAATGTTTTAAAGCACAGTTATATGTGTTCTAGAAATCCCTATCTTAAGGGAAGTTAACACCAAATCTTGGTCTAAACATTAGCAGAAGAGGGTAATCAAATTGAAGAACTCCAGTTTTGATTCATCTGCTATTCACCTTATTAAAAGTCAGAACATATGCCTTTTCTCTAAAAACAATTACAAATAAACCTATTAAGGCAGAATTTCTTTGACAAGTTGCTCTTAAAATCTGTCCTGAAATATCTTAAGACCAGCTGTCTCCCCAGTGTCCCTTCCCTGAGCTGACGGGCATTTCTAGCTGGAAGACCTAAGGGTTTGGGTTACACCACTGCCCCCCTCAAGGCCATTTTCACCCTGCAGCAGCAACACGTAGCCTCCCTGACTCCTCCTTTTCCTCTCTTCCCCATCCCAGCAATCCAAAGACATTATGAAAAATAAAGATTTTCATCCATAAACAAGTTAGGGACTCTTGTTCCTGAAGAATCCTCTTCAATGACTTAACTCCAAGGTAAACTTTATCTAAAACTAACGCTTTCTTCATCAACATTTAAAATATCCAAAAACTGCTACAGAAGCAATGAAAACATAAGTGACAAATTCAATTCTGTCCTAATTTGTTCCTGAAGGTTCTTAAATGACTCTGAAATTGTGACAAACTGCTTTTGGCAGCCAGCCTCCAACATGGCCCCAGAGATCTTCGTTTCCCAATGCTCATGCTCTTGAGTGGCCTCTTCCACACTGATCGGGGTTGGCCCTGTGTACTCAACAACATGATGGCAAAATAAATGCACTGCTGCTTCACCTTGGCCTCTTGGAATGCCTCCTCTGGGGGAAGCCAGATGCCACTCTGTAAGGATACTCAAGCAGCCCGTGGAGACGCCCACAGCGAAAGAAACTGAGGGCCCTGGCCAATCGCCGGCACCAACTTGCCAGCCACGTGCGTGAGCCACGTTGGAAGAGGATCCTGTAGCCCTGGGTGACAACTTGACTGAAACCTCAGAAGAGGCCCTGGGCCAAAACCACCCAGCCAGGCTGCTCCCAAATTTCTCACCTCCAGATACTCTGAGAGACAATAAATGATTATTGTTGTTTTAAGCCACCAAGTTTCAGGGTATTTTGTTATGCAGTCATAGTAACTGATACACTGCTATAGAGTAGATACAATTAAAGGAAACCCGAAGTTGACAAATTCAGCTCTGTCATAATTTGTTCCTGAAGGCTCAAAACAAAGGAATGTCTTAATTAATCTAGTTTTTATTAAATGAAAGATTCTTTAAATTCTGTAGTGCTTTACAATTTTCCGAAGTGTCACGCACATGATTTCATATATCCCCATAATAACCCTTTCTCCCCTTACCCGTAAAAAGCCCCTCCCTGCTTCCTTCTCCCCACTAGTTTGCTCTCTGTATATGTGAGTCTGCTTCTTTTTTGTTATATTCACTACTTTGTTGTATTTTTTGATTCCACATAAGTGATATCATACAGTATTTGTCTTTCTCTGTCTGACCTATTTCACTTAGCATAATGCCCATCCATGTTGCTGCAAATGGCAAAATTCCATTCTTTTTTACAGCTGAGTAGTATCTTTTTTTTTTAACATCTTTATTGGAGTATAATTGCTTTACAATGGTGTGTTAGTATCTGCTTTATAACAAAGTGAATCAGCTATACATATACATATATTCCCATATCTCCTCCCTCTTGCATGAGTAGTATTCTTAAATGAATGTTTAAAAAGTGTGTTTTGGAGGCAGATATAGAACTATACTGAATCTGTAGTTTCTACAATGATTAAGGAAAAGTTCCTAAGCTATATCTTTTTGAAAATACAGAATTTCTTTAAAAGTAAAAAGTATTTATTTTAAAACAGAAAATATGTCATCATTAACTATGTAATCTAACTAAACGTTTAAACAAAAAACTGAGGGCCACAAAACTTTAAAGAAAAGGGGATTTTATTTTTGCAAAGAAATACGAGCAAAAATGTGCTTTTATTGGCTATTTAAGGAAGAAAGAAAGAAATGAAAATGGAAGGAAGACACAGAGACAAAGAAAAGTTAAAAAGTAGAGAACAAAATAGAAAAAGAAAAACCAAAGAAGAGACAAGGTTCAGGGGCAGGTGCTAAGGTGAGAGAAAAAAAGGAGAGATCAAAATGAACAAAACCAGAGACAGTTAACAAAGGGGACAGTTTGATGGAGATGACGGGGGTGCAAAGTTTGACACAAACAAGAGTTCACATTCAGATGCTTAGAAACGAACTCTGGGACTTCCCTGGTGGCGCAGTGGTTAAGAATCCACCTGCCAATGCAGGGGACATGGGTTCGATCCCTGGTTGGGAAGATCCCACGTGCCGTGGAGCAACCAAGTCCGTGCACCTCAACTACTGAGCCTGCGCTCCAGAGTCCGCGAGCCACAACTACCGAAGCCCGCGCGCCTAAAGCCTGTGCTCCGCAACAAGAGAAGCCACCGCAATGAGAAGCCCATGCACTGCAAGAGAGTAGCCCCCGCTCGCCACAACTAGAGAAAGCCCACGCACAGCAACAAAGACCCAATGCAGCCAAAAAAAGAAGAAATGAACTCTAAAAAAAAAAAAAAAGACACATGCACTGAAGGTGTTACTAAGATAGAGACACCGAAAGATCAGATCAAAGGTCTTATAAGGAGATCTTCTAGGATATTGTTGAAAAAAGTATTTCACAGGGCAAAAATGGCACTATCTCTTATTTGGTTCTTTTCTCAAGGATTGGGTTGCAGGTGATGGGCCCTGCTCTTGATTTAGTTTGCCAAGGAGAGTAAGATACAGTTCTAGGTGGAAATATTGCCAAGGAGGCCTTTCTCCTACTGACCAGGTTTATTCTGCCTCAGCAAAAGAAAGCAAGACACATTAAAGAACTACAAACGTTACTTAGGGCCAATCTACCTGAGTTCCATATATAGCATTTGAATGATCAATTGCAGGAACAGGATCAACTGCAGGATAATATTGAATATTTGGAAACTGAGGTCAGGAAAACAATCTGTATAGTATGCACCATTCCTGTACAAAAAGGTATGCAAGATACTTACATCTCTAATAAAATGCTCAAGTGTAGCATAAGCAATGGCGATTCCATCATGGGTGCTTGTCCCTCTTCCCAATTCATCCAAGATAACCAAAGACTGTGATGTTGCTTTTGTTATTATTTCTGCTGTGTCAGCCAGTTCTTCCATAAATGTACTCTGTCCTTTATATATGTTATCTGCAGCCCCCATCCTACAAACAAGATGACAAAATCCTGATTTTCCTCTGAACTTCATTATTAGGAAGCCAGACATTATTTTCTGAGCAATAACTATAAAAGATCCCTACAGGGGTCTATGTACTTTGAGCCAATAACAGCTGAAATTGTATTAAACAAAAGAAAATATGTTGGATATAAAGAGTGTCTAACATCAAATGGCACCTTATAGAAACATTCTGGGTAGAACCTGAGGTACTGGACAGAGCTCTTGAAAAGCAGGGAAACCTCTGACTCAGCCTTTTTCTGACCAATCATTTCAAATCAAGGTTTTAGTACTCACAGGGGAAAACAACGCTTCTCTGTATCACTGTGTGCAAAATCCTTGAGTACTAGGATGCTGTACAATCAAAGGCTTTTTCCAGTGTTTCCTGAAGAAGATTCCACACCGATATTACAAATTAAAGTACCATGTTGAAATAAAACTTTTCTTTTTTTTTTTTTTTTTTACTAGAACTAGAATTATGGAAGTTTAAATAACCTCAGACACCTAATACAGGTTCCTAACGTGGACTTCATGGAACAGTGTTCTTAGAGATGTCAAGAAACAGGTTCAAAAGTTGTAAGGGCTCTTTCCTGTAAGACTTCTTAGAGCCTTTAATATTCTACTACATATTGTGCATTTCTTACACCTGATCTAGTACGCAGCATTTCTAACTCATTTAACCATGGACCCTTGAAACTTCTCCTGGAGCACCTTCTGACAATAATGGTTTACAGAACACATTTGGGAGAATGTAAAAAAAAATCTGGGGGGAAGAATTAGGTATTTGCACTCCAGGTCATGGAGTTTGCAGCAAAACCTAGAATTCAGACTCTGACCCACTAGCCAGCTTTGTGGACACTGGTGACTATCTTCTCAGCAAAATACCTTCATCAATTTAGTTTTTCTACAACAGTTCACGTGTGACCTACAGCAGCATAATATGTCTCTTATTTCTGGAAAAACTCATGGTAAAACCGAGCCTTAACTATCCTGTGGCTGGAGCCACGTACTGGGCAGGAGCAATGCAGTATAATGCCCACCTCCTCACTTCCAAAGACTGGTGGCACCTTAGGAGAACTGCTCCAGTAATCAGTGGCATTTAGAAACTGTAATTAACTACATCTATGATGCAGGTGATAGTGCTGTCGATTCTGTCTCCTTTAAAATCGATAACTACAAAACATAATTTCTGAAATGTTGCTAACTCAGGAGCATTCTGGTTACTTTTTCAAAGTTTAAATCCTGTTATTTACCTCAATTTTCAATGTTTACTTTACTAATATGTTCCCTACCACAAAGCAAGAATATTAAACTTTCCTATCTCTGCAACCACTCTGAATTCTTCAGAACCATAATGTTTGATTCTCACTTAACAATGTTTGATTTTATTCCTGACAGGTTGTGAACTGACAAAAAGAACACATCTTTCGCTGATAATAAAATAGCTCTGATAAGGCAAATATCGGGGGGGGTATCTTTGATTCAAGAGTTAGAAAAACAAGCAAGCACTGGCTAAGATTTTAATGAAACAGTTTACGTATACTTAAGTGCTTTCTAGAAATACTACGGTAACAGAGTGGTCTCACTGGGAACTGCAGGAATTGTAGAATGCTTTGGGGAAAGACATTCTAAGGTGAGATTTCAAAACAGGAGGGAAGGCTGAATGATCAATCAATAAAAAAAGATGGTAGCTAATTGGTTCTTTCAGGAAAAAAAAAAAAACAACAAACAAAGATGTGTCCCTACTTACACCATATTCCAAAATCAATGTATATGAATTTAAAAGTTGAATGTAAAAATAGAAACCATACACATACCAAGCAGTCTAGATGAAATTTAATCTCTAGACAGGTGTGTGGATGGCTTTATATACATGGCATCAAAACATGTGTGTAGCAAAACGCCATGGTACCAATGTGTCTTACAGTATTACAGGGTTTCTGTCCTTAAGGAGGTCAGGCCAGATTTCAGGGGATCTTGGGTGTATTTTTATTAAACAATGGTCCCAACTCTACTATTAGACCAGTAGTTTTCAAATACCTTTTACCTGTTAAATCCTTTGTTCACATGAAATTTTACAAAGAAACTCACTCTGCCAATGAGATCAAAGGAACACTGATTTGGTCAAGAACCCAGCACTGAGGCCTCGCTTCCCTTCTAGAGGGGACGCTGTGGGATTCCTAACACCCTGTAGAACAGTTTGAAAGCCACTCCATTATAGGAGCCAAAACATTTTTTCACAATTCTATTTTTCCATAGTACCTGATGATAAAGTAGCAATGCTGCCCAGCAGACACTAAAGAAACGGTGGCGCCTTAACCAGTCACTGAGGCCACTGGGGAAGTATGTGTTTGTAACTGTGGGAACTGTTTATTGATAAAAATATTTTCTGGGGCTTCCCTGGTGGCGCAGTGGTTGAGAGTCCGCCTGCCGATGCAGGGGACAAGGGTTCATGCCCCGGTCCGGGAGGATCCCACGTGCTGCGGAGCGGCTGGGCCTGTGAGCCATGGCCGCTGAGCCTGCGCGTCCGGAGCCTGTGCTCCGCAACGGGAGAGGCCACAGCAGTGAGAGGCCCACGTACCACCAAAAAA